GATGTGGTCATCCCCCCTGGGGAGTGATTTCTTACTTTCTGTCTCTCTGTCTTTCTGATGAGTGCATTTGCCCTATAGCAAAAACTTCTCAAAAAAAAAAAAAAGATTTTATACACCTGAGTAATTTTTTGTTGTTGCTGTTGTTTTTGTTTTAGAGACTTTTGCTCTAGGGCAAAAAAGAGAAATCATTCCCAGGGGGATGGCCACGCCACAATCCTTTCTCTTCCATTCAGCTCTCAGGATCTTGGGCACGCACACACACGCACTCCACGTGAGTTTCAGGCTGCCAGGTCTGGGACTGTGAATCACAGTTGATTACGTGGGAGTCTAGCAACGTAACCAGTACTCCATCTGCTGATCCCATCAATTCTGCTTCTTTTTTCTTAAGAGTTATTTTTAATTTTATTTATAGTTGTTATTATTATTTTTTAAATAATTTGACCAGAGAGAGAGAGAGAGAGAGAGGGAAAGTGAGCAAGCAAGCTGCCAGGTCCAGGACTTGAACTGCGGTCGGCCATGTGGGAGTCTGTTGCCTTGACCATCATGCCACCTGCCGGCCCCATCAGCTCTGGGTTTTATTAAGAGTTATGGTATGGCCAGCTCCACGGCCTAGTTGTTAAGGGAGCTGGATTCCACAGGGCCAATCATAGTTTGAATCCCAGCTCTGAGGAGCTTTACAAAACACACTGGGGGCCAGACAGGTAGTATACTGGATCCCACATGGCTGACTGCATGGTTCAAGTCCCAGACCTGGAGGCTTAAGAAAAATGCCAGGCTCGTGTGCATGCATGCCCAAAATCTCAAGAAGAGAATAAAGGAGAGACTGTGGTGTGGCCATCACCAAAGAGGAGTGATTTCTGTTTTTCTCTGTCTCTCCCAGAGAGACGTGCCCTATAGCAAACTAAAAAATAAATTAATTAAATAAAGTATACAATGGAGTGGTTTAATATATTCACAGTATTGTATAATCACCACCTCTGTCTAGTTTTGATACATTTTTTAAAAAGTATTTTATTTAATTTTATTTATTCGTTCATTTATTTTCATTTGACCAGAGAGAGAGAGAGAGAGAGAGAGAGAGAGAGAGAGAGGG